AGATAGAGTGTCGTGGCAGTAAGGTGTTGTGAGTCGGTATAGGTCAAGTTTGTGAAGTAAGGTGTGTGGGACTGTAGTTAGGCGTAGATCGTGTTGGGACTGGTAGTAGGTAGAGTGTGTGAGTAAGGTCTCCGTGATGGTAGAGGGTAGAGTGTTGATTAAGGCTGCTTGGGAGCTGTAGTTAAGTAAGAAGAGTGGATAAGGGTGTGGAGACTGTGTATAAGGGGTAATTGGTGGAGTAAGTGGTGATGTAGTAGGGTCAGAGTGGTTGGAGTAAGGGTTGTGGAGATCTGGTAGTAGGTAAGTGTGTGGATAAGTGGTGGTGGACTTGTAATAGGGTAGCAGTGTGTGGAGTAAAGGGTGAGCTGTTGGACTGTAGCTTAGGTAGAGTGTGTGAGTAAGGGGTGGTGGTACCTGCGTAGTAAGTAGAAGTGTGGTGATTAAGGTTGTGTGGACTGGTAGTAGGGTAGAGTTGTGAGTAAGGGTGTTGTGACGTAGTAGTAGAGTTGTGGATAAGTTGTGGTGACCTGTAGTCAAAGATAAGTTGTGGGCAATTAAGGTGTTTTTTGTATCGCGCTTCCCTGCTACTGCTTCTTTCGATTGGGGGAATCTTTGCGCCGCCTGTGCGTGATTCTAGACATTTAATCACGCACCGTCTTATTAAAAAAATCATTGTTTAATTATTATTCACTGTTACTATTTCTTCCTCGCCTCAAGCATATTATCTAGTATGATATGTGGCCTATATTATTCATCATTTATTATTTATTATCATACTGTTATGTGATTTATTCAACTACTAAAATGCTGGCTGGTTGTTCTGCCCGCCCCACAGAGCACACCATGCATGAAGGGGGTGACTCGCCGTCTGGTTTGATGTGCGAGTATGCCATAGGCCGTCTGCTCACCCCGTGCCGAACGCATGCTCGCTCGGATTTTTTTCTTTGCTTGGACCGCTCGCCTGTTGGTCGGTACGTTACCCTGATTTTTGTTCTTGTGTCCGTCGATGTCCACTGTTTTTCTTTTTCTGCTTTTTATGTTTGTTTTTTTTGTTTTGTTCGTTTCTTTTTGTTTTTGCTTTTTTTTTTTTCGTTTTTTTTTTTTTTTGTTTTGGTTTTTTTTTTTTTTGTTTTTTTTTTTTTTTTCTTTTTTGTTTGTTTGTTCCCCGGCTTTTGTATTTTTTTGTTTTTTTTTTCTTTTTTTCTTTTCGTCTTTTTTTGTCTTTGTGGTTTTTTTCGTGTTTTGTGTTGTTTTTTGGTTTTTTTTTGTGTTTTTCTTCTTCGTGTTGTTTTTTTGTTGTGTTTGTTGTTTTTTTTTCTTTGTTTCTTTTTCCAGCCCTTTCGGGCCGGCGTAAAGGTGACTGTAGTAAGATAAGATTGTGAAGTAAGGTGTGGGGCTGAGTGGTAGTAAAAACGGAATAAAAGTGGTGAATAAGGTTGTCGGACCTGGTAAGTAAGGTAAGAAAGTGTGGATCAAAGGAAAATCGTGCTGGAGTGAAGAAATACAAGTTTTGGCATAACGGTGTGTGTGCTGGTAGTACCGATAGAGTGTTGTGGAGTAACGGGGTGTGGACCTGGTAGTAGTGTAAGTGTGTGATAAAGTGTGTGGGATGTATTAGGGTACAGCTGTGTGAGTAAGGTGATGTGACCTGCGTACTAGAATAGAGTGTGGAGAAGGTTGTGTGAGTGTAGTAGATAGAGGTGTGAGTAAGGATGGGACCCCTGGTAATAGAATAAGGTTGAGAAGGGTGTGTGGGAGTGGTAGAGGATAGAGTGTGGAGTAAGGGTGTGTGGGGACCCTGGTATAGGAAGGTGGATAAGGGTGTGTGTGAGTTATAGTAGATTTGTGGGATAAGGGGTGTGTGAGTGCGTGCCTGACCATTTCCGCTAAATATATTCGAAAGGAAGAGAAAATCGTGGAAGCAGAGGGAACAACCCCCACCCTCACCTACCTACCTATCAATCATCGCCGCACTCACCAACCGCATTAGCAAGGATATATCACTCTACAGCATACGTCGCACAATATATACTATATATATATATATATATATATATACGTATAACTAATATGTATAATAATATATGAAACAATAAAAATATACTGGATATCCTAAACGTATCTATTAAATAATATATATATAATATATATAATAATAATATATATACTTAGCGTATCCAAGTATATTTCTATTGCTTCCATCAAAGGAATGTATAAAGAACCTAAGTATGCTAATTAGCTATTTTCTGCCACCCAATACGGAAATATATATTATTTCTAATGTTTCCACTATATAGAAATGCATACAAAGCCCCATCTAACTAGCACCACGTTCCTGGTTTCCGCAGACAACCCGTTCAACTGTGACTGCAGCATTCAGTGGTTCCAACGCTGGATTCACAGCCGCAGGGAGTCGAACCCCGTCGACCTGGCGATGGAGGAGGAGACGACGTGCGCCTCCCCGGAGATCTACACTAACCTCCCCATCACCAAGCTGCCGCACCGCCCCGAGTGCCCACAGGGGGCGCCACCTACCATCGCTCCCACCGAGCGGCAGCCCACGGAGACGATCCACCAGGGGACGCCAGACGACGACGAGGAGGAGGAGGAGGAGGAGGAGGGGGAGGAGGGAGAAGAGGGGGAGGAGGGGGTGGGACACGTAGAGGAAGACACGGTGACGACGCCACTTCCGGCGGTCACTGAGCGTCCCACCAGACGTCCGCGGAAGAACAAGAACAGGAGAAGGAAGCCGAAGAGGAATAGAAACAACAGGAGGAACCCACGGAGGCGAGTTGATCCAGAGTAGAGCCCGCCAGCGCCACCTCGCGGCGACGCGTGGACATAATTGAAATAATTAAATAGAAGCGGCGCACAATATACCCATAATTAGCATCGTTTTAATTGCGTAATTGAACCTGCTGTAAAATAACAGGCTCGCGGGAGAAGGTACGATGACGCGATATACGTAAAATGATACATTGTTGTAATCAATCAAAACACGAGAGAGCTTTGCAGTTGATCACAGATTAATTCAGAACTGATCATGCTACTATGAAATTGTTTGAAATTCGACCAGTGACAACGGTAATAAATTTTAATACTAAATAATAGAACCAGCACCACGAAAAAATTAGAAACCTGGCAGATCCAGTACATACATGGTCTGGTTGCTATCAAACGATAGCACTATACTCGTGGAATATTTTCAGGTACGAGGTACTAAGGACATTTTGGGGGGACGCCAGAGCCCAATTTTGTGGTACCGAATCTTTTTTGTTGGTGGAAAAAGGGATATTGTTCAATACTGATTGATATATGCTTACATGCTACAGGCGGGGATAATTCCTTATGTTATATTAGGGATTTCTATCAGCACATTGAGATTTTACGAAACGTCCACGTATTTCCACATTTACTGCCTTCATGGTAACTTTAGATACTTGTGTGTGTTGCTTTCTCAACAAGCTCATGACTAGTGCTTGCGATCGGATCTGACATTAGTTCTAACATGGACTGTTAGCGAGAAAAACCTTCGCAAGGTGTGTGTTTGAATATGTCACGTACTGTATACAAATACGCAAGATCTTTCATTGATACATGATTTTTTTGCGAAAATAGGGCGTATATAAAATCACCACTGTGCGTATAGGAATGTAGTGTCTGTGACATCGATGTACAATGACTGCAGGTTCGTACTTCCACTAGTTATGATAATGTATTTAGTGCTTCATTTGATTGGAACACATTCTATCGCTTTCAAAGATATCTTCTATGGATATAAATGTAGTATTAAATTCACACTAATTTAATTGCATCTAGAATTGGAATTCGTGTTCAAAAATACTCTGCCTCTAGCTTTGCACTACAAGTAGAAATAAAGTCAGATGTAGTCAACAAAGGTAATGCTTTATTGTATCCCCGACATGTTAGGAGCACACTGACAATGCGGTAATAATGCTAGCTTGCGTGTAATAATATAGCAAAAGGCACAATATAGATCAATATGATTGCTCTTATGTAGCTTTATATAACTTGTCGCTTACCAACCCTGTGTCCGGGCGCAGAGACAAGTTAACGTGAGAATATTCCGACGAGACACACTCCCACCATTGAGTCCCCTCCACCATTCACCACTCTCACGAACACTCTCTAACATGAGAACAAGTATCGGTAGTACAAGATAGCTTCGTAAGAACGCTAACAACGCATGCGTATCCATTTAACAATCCTATTAGTCGGAGCCAAGACAACCACGCCCGCCGTGGACATTGTCGCTTGCTTGATCAAGCCACGAGTCTTTACACATTTACACGCCAATTTATCGTCCTCACAGTACTTCGTTGCTAAGCAGATCGTGCTATGGCGATGCTGATTGGATAGAGCTAACGAACACTAGCAGTACTGGCAGAACCAGTGGATCGCGCTGGCTGGCATAGGTAACCTTAACATGGGTTGCAAGTACACAGCTCTCATTGAATCACATAATATGCTATGGCATCGATGCATCAGCGATTGCTGATATTCCAGTAGACTGGCCACGTTCGATCTCGCTCACTGCATTTGCCTCCCTCACGCACGCCGCACACATGCATGCACCCATTCATTCCTCCACACTCCTTCTGTAGCTAGGAAGTTACACACACACACACACACACACACACACACACACACACACACACACACACAGGTACGCAGACATGTGCCCACAAACGCTACACATATTAAGAGGCAGACATTTAGTCAATCATTATTTCAAACGAGGGCACTATATATAACAATATTAGGAAGTCTGTATATTGGAGGACTTTTATCGATGTGTAAATGTCGGGAATAGTAACGGTATTAGCAATGGTAGTGTTGATGGTGATGTTAATGTTAAAGTTAATGTTAATGTTAATAGTAATGGTAAATGTTAATACTATATAGTATTAACATTTACCATTACGATATACTTTTACATACGATTACATTTATATAATGGTAACGATTGCGTGTATCTTAAACAGAGGCACGCACGCAGCCATGTCACCGTACATCAGTCTGCTGCTGCTGCTGCTGCTGGCGCTCTTCGGGAGCTCGCAGGCCGGCTGCCCAGACACGCCAGCCGAGCCCGGACCGTGCAGCTGCGTGGACGCGAGCGGATTTGAAGCCATCTACATCATATGCTCGTCCGGCACGCTGCAGGAGGTCATGGCCGCCGTGCGTGACGTCAACATGGAAATCTTCGAGCTGCAGATCACCGGCGTCGAGATGGCAACGCTGCCGCACGACGCCTTCGCCGGCGTCAGCATCCGCCGCATGTCGTTGCCGGGCAACAAGATTCGGCGCATCACGGCGCATGCGTTCCGAGGACTCGAGGACAGCCTGGAGTTTCTCAGTCTTTACGACAACGAGCTGACCAGTATGCCGACGAAGGTAGGCAGTAGGGAGCGGATTGTAGGTGGTGGCGGCGGTGACGATGGTGTCGTTATTGTTGTCGGTGGTGGTGGTAATGATGGTGGTGATGGTGGTGTTGATGTTGTTGTTGGTGGTGGTGGTGACGATGTTGTTGTTGGTGGTGAAGTGACAATGTTGTTGTTGTTGTTGGTGGTGGTGGTGATGACGATGTTGTTGTTGGTGGTGGTGGTGATGACGATGTTGTTGTTGTTGGTGGTGGTGATGACGATGCTGTTGTTGTTGGTGGTGGCGGTGACGATGTTGTTGTTGTTGTTGGTGGTGGCGGTGACGATGTTGTAGTTGTTGTTGTTGTTGTTGGTGGCGGTGACGATGTTGTTGTTGTTGTTGGTGGTGGTGGCGGTGACGATGTTGTTGTTGTTGTTGATGGTGGTGGCGGTGACGATGTTGTTGTTGTTGGTGGTGGTGGTGACGATGTTGTTGTTGTTGTTGTTGGTGGTGGTGATAATGGTGACGATGTTGTTGTTGTTGGTGGTGGTGATGGTGGTATTGATGGTGGTAGTCGTTATCGTTGCCGTTGTCGTCGTCGTTGTAGTTATCGTCATTGTCATTGTCGTTGTCGACGTCGTATTCGTCGTCGTCGTATGGGTGGTGGCAGCACTGCTAGTCTTTGCTTAAACATCGAGCCGTCCATTGGTTGCTTATCGGTAATAAATCACTGCCAACAATCCAGCAATATCATAACGTAAATAAATAAATAAATATATATATATAAAATGTCAATATTATCTTATTGTCTTTATCTATGTCATTAATCTTATCAATTTTATCTGTCTTTACTATCCTCCCTCCCTCCTCCAGGCGCTGGCTAGCCTGCACAGCCTGTGTGGACTGGACGTTGGCCGTAACCGACTGGACTTCAGCAACCCGGCTCTTTTCAACGGCCTCAACACGCTCGAGTTTGTCAGTCTGCGCGACAGCTACCTGACGGCCGTGCCTGCCGACGCGCTCGCCAGCCTCGTGGGGCTCAATGACCTTGACCTCGGCATGAACTCGATCACGGACGTTGACGTGGAGTCGTTCGGCGCGCTGCGGCAGCAGCTGCTCACGCTAAGGCTCTACGGAAACAGGTGCGAGCACCCGTGTGTGTGTGTGCGTGCGTGCGTGTGTGTGTGTGTGTGTGTGTGTGTGTGTGTGCGTGTCGTGTGTGTGTGTGTGTGTGTGTGTGTGTGTGTGTGTGTGTGCGGTCGTCGTCGCGTCGTCGTCGTGTCGTGTGTGTGTCGCGTCGTCGTTCCGTTACCGTCGGTTCCGTTCCGTTCCCTTCCCTTCCTTCCTTCCT